CTAATTGGGGGGCCACCTTGATTAGGGACCATGAGGGCCTTTCAGAGTGCCCAGCTTCTGAGAGAAAAACCCAGACCTGCCACGCAGACTCGCTGGAACGGAGCTAGGAAAAGCGATATGGGCCCCAACTTAGAGAAGGACCAGTTTGCCAGTGGCTTCATCCATTCTGGCTGCTGTACCAAAATGCCATAGACTGGGTGGCTGATAAACAATAGTAATTGATTTCTCTCTGTTCTGGAGGCCGGAAGTCTGAGATCAGGGTGCTGGTGCAGCTTGGGGGAGGACCCACCTCTGGGCTGTAGATAATTCTTCTCATAAGGCAGAAGGCAGAGAGGGGAGCCAGCTCTTTTTAGTGACTCTTGTAAGTACACTGACCCTATCGTGGGGGCCCCACCCTAATAACCTCATCTGACCCTAAGCACCTCTCCAAGCCCCACCTAACACCACATTGGCTTTAGGCTTCAACACGGGGATTTGGGGGAGGACATAAACATCCGTCCATGACAGCCCAGATGATAAAGTAGCTGGGACCTGGGCCCCTCTTGGTGCTATGGAAAAACACAGGCTGAGAAGGCAGAAGACTCATAACCAAGGCAGAGACAATAAGATCCTGAGGGAACACTACGAATTATCAGAAGTCATCTGGAAGTGACAATTTCCTAGGAAGACACAAATTAGGAAACGAGTGGGTCTGGTCTCCCGAGTCGAAGGTGGGTGCCCAGCCTGGGCCCTGGGGCAGGGGCTTCATGGTCCTTCGGAAACTTCTCAGCCCACAGACTCTGTCTGCCTCTATCCCCTTGCCCAGACCCCAGCCTGGCTTCCTACCTGAGCTCCCCCTACCATCCTCCCTCATCTGCTCAAACACTCCATGGCTCTCCATTGTTAGACTCCTGCCTGACACACCCTTCAGGGAATCCCCAGGCCTGGGGGGTGCTTTCCCCAATACCCTAGACAGGGTCTTTGCCTCCCTTTAGTTGCTCTCCAGGATTCCTACCTGCCTCCCCATGGCTCTACGGCATCTTTTTTCAAAAAATGTTTTACATTGAGAGCCAGAGCAGCATTACCCATGACATTGCCTGTCTCAAGTAGAGATCTCAAGGTACACACAAGTCTGGGAACCTCAACTCACCCCTCCCTGGAGGTGCAAGAGGCCCACTGAGTTCAGGGGCTTGGAGGAAGAAGCCGCAGCTGCTTCTCTCCAGTGTATTGGTGTCACACCCATTCCTGCCTCACTGGGACACAAAAATACAAGATTCCTGCTTATGTCACTAAAGAACATCTTGCCTCTCCTACCAGGCCTGCTGTCTGGGGCTGCTGTGTACAGAATGACTAAGAGGAGGGAAATAAACAGCTAACAATCATGAAGACACCGGGCCTTATAAAGGATCACAGGAAGATGTGACTAAAACAGCAAGGAGGTACCACATGGCACCCCAGAAAGGCAGGAGTCAGAGGCTAGCCAAGGTGTGGCCTGAACCCTGCACAATGCCCGTCGGCACCTGCATTGGCATGACCATGCTGGGGAGTGCTTTGGTGGCACCTGGAAGAGGTGACTCCATAGCTGGCTGGTCCCTCAGGGACACATCTTGGGAGATTCTCACCTATGGGTGCAGGAGCAAGGGTGGCAGTCACAGCGTTATTCCTGATGACAAAAAGCTAACCCAGGAATGAGCAAATAAATGGGGTTAAATTGTAAATAAGTAAATAGCGCATTGCTTACCACCCATGCGAGGCTCTCGCTTCCCCCCTCTGGTTGGTGCACCCTGCACGTTCTTTCATGGCCATTGTGATAGACCAATGGTGGCCTCACCCTCCTGCCCTTGAAGATGGGGACATTCAGCACCAAAGGCCTCAGCCATCTGTGAAATGGAGCCCCCAGCATGCAACAGACCACAGGGCTCAGGAGAGAGAAATCTGGGGATTTTGGAGCAGTGCACACAGGATGGGCAGTGGCCCATTTTGACTGATGTCCCCAAAGGTACAAGTATGTATGCACAAGATCTCTGGAAGGACATACAACGAACTGGTAAATGGTGATGCCCCTGCAGAAGGAACTAGGAGGCCTACTTACTTGGTAAACCCTTTTGGGCAGTTTGCATTTTCTAGAAAATCATAGTATTAATTAACAATTCAATTACATTTTTAAAATGTCTACTCATGACTTTACTAAAAGTTCTGTCAAAATAACCTCAACTCTATTTTAGGTTCATGGTGGGTGGGTAGGGTAGGGGTCAGAGCCTAAGGAAAGAGACGTGGACAGGAGAAAAAGTTATTTTAATTTTTATTAAATATACTCTCTTGGCACAAATCTTTAAAATATATAAACATTATATATAAACAAAGTGTCTTCATGGCATCAAAATAACTCCAGACCAGGACAGGCAGCCAGTAGGGAGGGGTGTGACTGCGGAGGGTGCCCGTCCAGTTGTGTGTGGCACTAGAGGAATGGGGTGGCACTGCTAAGGCCCACTGGACTGGGAGCCACCCTGGGCAGGCACACTGGGTCCAGCAGGACCCGAGGGACTCTCCCACTCCTGCCCAGCCTGTAGTCCTAAGTAGGGTGCTGCCCAGCCAGTCACCTAGTCTCACCTGCCTGGGGTGGGCCCCCAGTCCCTGCTGCTCTCTCTTGCCTGGGGCTCTTGGGTCCCCATCCTGTCTCTCTGTGAGGGGTGACCCTGCCTCTCCTGCGCACTGAGCAAGGTGGGGAGAAGAGGTGGGACACTCACCCAATATGACAGTCATCGCAGGCTACTTGGGCCTCTGGGGACAAGAGTCTGGGTATGAGACTGGGGCTGGCTGATGGACACATGCAAGAACAGACACAAGTCCAAGGCAAGAACAGACAGAATAGAATGAAGGGAAGAAATGAAAGTCACAACTGGAAATGTGTGTGGGGCAAGCACACAGGTCATTTCACGCATGGTGGATGTCCTAGAACCAGATCAGATCAGTCAGAGTTTACCGTGAGTAGACCCAGGGCTGGCTAAATTGAAAAAACAAAGTCAATAAACTACAAACATCATTAGGAAATGAGCGTTCCTCCATCCCTGTGATACCCAAGGGATCCGGGAACTTCTCCGTGAGACCAGCTCCCAGGGGGTCCCCTGACTCTTCTGAGCTTTCCACCCCTGGCCACATATACTGTCTTGGAAGTTCCCATTTAGGTAAGATCAAGGCTGCCAGCCACCTCCATGCACTTCATTCAAGGACCTCAGACAACCCTGTGGGCAGAGGGTCAGGGCCTCAGGCCCAGCCTCCATGGGTGTTGCCAAGGGGCCAGCAACAGCGGGGAAGACCAGCTCCGGGTCCCTACACTGGTGTGGAATCAGGATCAGGATAATAGTCTCAGACAAGGCTGTTCCAGAGCAGAAGGCTCTGGGGCTGGAGGGAGTCATGTCACCTGGGAAAAAAAGGCAGGACAGGGGTGGGGTGGGTAAGAGGCTGCATTTATAGCCACAACTGAGCAGGAGACTGGTCCCATCATGGACAGGGTAGGCCAAGCCTCTCCTGCACTGTTCAGCTCCCCCATCCTGAGCATAGACCCAGGACAAGTGGGAGGCGGAGTCTGGCTCTGAGCCCAGTGGGGACAGGGTCATTAGACTCAGGAGCGTGTCCAAGGACACAGAGTGCCAGGAGACGCTGGTCACTCCAGCATCAGGGCGTTCAGGCGGTACCTCCAGGAGGCAGCACCAGCCCCAGGGAGAAGGGAAGAGGTGGTTAGCCAACACATCCTAAAACTGCCCTCCAAGGGCTTCTGGCTTTCCTCTCAGACCCAGACCTGAAGCTCTGGGCTCAGCCCCTCTGGCCTGCCTGCTTGTTCAACACATGGCTCCGGGGCAAAACCAAGCGCCCCCTGCTCCCCGCGCTTCTGAGCTCCAAAGCATTAAGGGTCAGCAGTCCTTCCCGAGCTGGAGCTCGGCTCCCTGTCCCGAGAGCTGCCAAGTGCAAGGCCCCTAGCTCTGCAGACGCCGCAGCAGGATCTGCATGAGATCGAAGGTGGTGAAGCTGATGCCCACTGCAATGGGGCCCTTGAGCCAGTTCATGCTCAGGCCCTTGTAGAGGCCGCGCACTGCGCCCTCCTCCCGCACGATGGTACGCAGTGTGCAGGCGATGGAGGCGCGCGGGTAGCCCGTGACGCCGGCCGTCTGCATGCGCCGCCGCACCACGTCCAGCGGGTATGAGGCGGACTGCCCAATGATGCCCGCGCAGGCTCCGAAGATCATACGCTCAAAGGGGTAGGGCTGCCGGTGGCCGCTGTACTCTGCGGGGAGGGCCAGGAGGGGCCATGAGGGCGCCGCAGGGGAGCGCACCCCCGTACCTGAACACAAACCAGAACCCACAGGAGCTCCCTGTGCACCTATACAAACCCGTACTGTGTTGCCCCTGAGTTTCAGGACCTGACCGGGTTCCCTGAGCCTTCCCATTAGGACCCCTTCCTCACCTCTAGATCATTTTTTTTTTAAAGAAATAAAAGATTTTTAAAAGTCAGAAAAGCCCAAAGAAAAATATAACCAGGTCTAAAAGACTAAGCGCGAGCTCCCATCGAATCAGTCCTGTATTCCCTCTAGTAAAGTAAGACATTGAAGTGTCCATGACCTTCTCCCTACTACCCCACCAGGCAGCCCTGCACAGGGGCCTGAGACCAAACACACAACGGTGAACATCCAGCGCTTCCTCCTGGGTCCAAAGGGACTGATAACAGAGTTTCTCTAAACATGCACATGTGTTTTAAATTTAAAACTAAGAATTAAAAATGGGGACATACCGCTGTTCATTCACCACACAGGCAAAACATTACTTAACCAAGAGCAACGCATGGGATGAATGTGGGGACAGGGCCCCAGGGCAAGTGCAGCAGCCAGAGGAATGAAACCCAAATCGGACCCTTGCACAAATGGGCACTCCTGGATGTCCACTGATCACGGAAAATCTGCCAATGGCCTAAATGCACCCCTCCAGAAGGAGGCCCACCCCACAGCTAAAAGGATGCGACAGAGCCATGGAACTCGGCAGGATGGACTCAATACTGGCTGAGGCAGAGCTGCGCTGCCCAGAGGTGCAGGAGGTGACTCCACTCCATTTACTTTTTATAACCAGGAAACAAGATGAGACATTATTCCTGCCACATATAAATGCACAAGTATTTCCAACCGCAGGGAGGATGTGGCCAGCATTTAGAGGGGTGGTTATAGTGTTCCCTGTACTTTTCAAAACTCTCAGAATTACCAAAACACAAGCGGCACTCCTCCTCCACCTAGGTTTTACCCATAGGCTTTGTGCAGCTGCCTGTGGTTGCACAAGTGGCTGCCAAAACTCTGGGCAACACAGTGAACTTCACAAGGTTGCACTTAAAACAAGGCATTTAAGGTTGTGAGTCCAGGTTCCCCAGCAGTGGCCTGATGTCATGTGCCTTCTCTTGAATCAGACCCTCAGCCCCCAGCCTGCCTGATCCAGGGGTCCTAGTGTGGGGTCTCTAGGTCTGTGTGAACTGAGGATGCTGCCCCCCACCCCCTCCTCACCTCTGTGCAGGCTCTTGAGCGTCTCATAGGTGAAGAAGCTCAGCCCTGCGTAGGGGATGACCCCCAGCACGGTGGGCGTGAAGCCATGGTAGAGGGTCTTCAGCCCCTCTTCCCGGGAGATGCGGATGAAGACGTGAAAGATGTTGCTGTACCTGCCAGGACAGAGCAACCAGCGGGTGGGCTGGGGCTTCGTACAGGGAGGAGCCACTGGCCTTAACTCATTAATTCCAGGCTCCTCTGCAGTGGGGACAGGTCTGGATGCTGATGCTTCCCTTCTTTAAGGAACATAAACAAACACCTGGCAAAAGCTTTGGCATTAGAGGGCTATAATGGGTGTCCAAGGCCATATTCAACTTTCACCACAGGGATCATCCATGTGCTCAGCCCTCTCATTCCTGTATCTGTTTAATGCATCTATGTCCAATTTGAAATGAAAACTAGTTGGATAGAAGCAGAACCGACCTTCAGGCTTAGAGAACTTTCTAGAACAGCTTCAGGATCGTATGCCTGGCCTGCCCTTGTTGTACCAGACAGGGTCTACGTGGCGGAGTGTTGACACTACAGCTTCCCCTGTGGCCTGGATGTAGAGGCCCAGACTCAGACCCCAAAAGTCAGACGGAGGGAACCGACCTGGGGCCTCACTACACACAGAGTCCCCGGTGCTGGTGAGGGTCACCGTGGTAGGACTCACATTTCCTTTGGGGTCACAGCCATGCGCGCTCGGACCAGGTCCAGGGGGTAGGTAAGTGAAGCGGCTGTGGTTCCAGCGAGGGCCCCTGCGAGGAGGCGGGGCCAAGGGGGCAGGGCCCTGAAAGTGGGGAAGGGGCAAAGACAGACTGTGAGACCCCAAGGCCCAGAGGAGGGAGGCTCAGCCCACGGCCCACAGGTATGAGTGTGGGGAAGAAGGACCAAGGATAGGTGGGCTGGCTTCTTGGTGGCAGAGCTGGGGGGGTCTTGGTGGACATCACTTTGAGATCCGATCAATGAATGATGGGGACCTGCCCTCCGGGGGTCTGAGTTCTGATGTGGTGAGTGTGTGGAAGAAAGACAGGGGAGCAGGGGGACGGGAGGGAGTTGAGAGGGTTTGGGGGTACAGGATGGGGGCCTCACTCTCCGCGGAAGCCGTAATAGTGGCCCAGGACACGCTTGTACTCCTCGTGCGCGCTGAACTGGATGGCGGCATAGGGCACCACGCGCACCATGGTGGCCGAGTTCCCGCGCCACAGACTGAAGAAGCCCTCGTGGAGGTAGGTGAAGTAGAGCAGCCGAAAGGCCTCCTGGGGGGGTGGCGGGGCAAGGTCAATGCCTCCACCTACCTCCTCTCCACTTTCCCGCCCCTCCCCCTTGCCCCTCCTGCCCATTTTGTCCAGCAGGGAGACCAGGCTGGCAAAGCAGGCTCAGAACCCCACGCAGAGGGTGTTTTGTTGGTGTTTGTCTAGTAGTCTAGCTTTTAAAAATATTCTTTTTCTTTATTAATACCTGCTCTGTTTAAAAATAAATCGAATATGAAAACATGAGTTTAGAACATCGAGTCCCCTCACCACCACCCCAAGGATACGGGGTCTCCTGTCAATTCCCAGGTTGTGCTGTGACCAGAGCTCAGTGTGCCAGGACAGGTGGTCCTGGGACTGGGGCCTGGCAGGGAGGTCTCGGTCACCCAGGCTCCCAGGAATCACCCTGGGAGAACCAAAGCAGAAAAGAACCTTGAAAAGTATCTCTCTACTCCCCTTGTCCCCAGGCTGCCACTGCTTCCTGCTGGCCGAGTAGGGCAGTGGGTAGCCCCACAGCCAGGGATCGGTGATCTAGTGACTTACCTTGGCAGAAAATCTTTTTGAAGACACTGGGAAAAAAACCCAAAAACATAACATAGACTATTAGATGTGAAGGACAGGACCCCCCACCCCAAGTCTGTGTGACTCCCACTGCAGGGGTCTGGTCTGAGCTAGAGAGTGACAACAGTCCTCCCTGCTACTACCACCCCCAAGGGCTGAGAGCAGAGTGTCCTGAGCAGGGTTACTCTCCTCCCAGGAACCTCCTCACCCTCTGTGCCCAGGCCCCTCTGCATGCCAACTTGTCCCTAGGAAGAGGGGCTGAGCTGCCATCTGATGCCAGGACAGTGACGGTCTCTACAGGGGCCTGTGGGATGACATGCCTCTGGAGGGTCAACACTCAGCACTCACACCAGACTGGACTCCAACCAAATCTCTCTGAGGAAGGTGTCACAGACATTAGCCATGTGGGGACCAGTCCAGGGGCTCAGGCTCACCTGGGACAAGGCCAGGGTGGTCTTTGTCTGGGATCTGCCCTCTCTTCTTGATGGCCCAGTAAAGGTGCCCCTAACCTGCCTCTCTCACCCTCCCTTGCTGCCCAGCTCACTCCCCTGCTCCTTGGTGCACTGTCATCAGGGGCTGGAGCCATGGTGGCCACAAGGATCCAGCAACACAGGCCATGAGGGGTCTCAGTCTTGCAGACTCCTCTGCCTCACTTCCTGAGTCTCTGCTGTGTTCCCGGGATGCCCTTGCACTCTCGTGTGTGTGGACATTTGTGCACACGAATTGCCTTCAGAGTTACACAGAGCTCCCTGGAGGGCGCAACACAGCGTGTTTGCCAGGTAACAATGCAGCTGACACAGGGAGCTCAGCTGTGTGCCTGTTATTGTCCTCATTGTATGGATGAGGAAACTGAGGCACAAAGAGTGTAGGTGGACCAGCTCAAGGAATTGGGGAGGGCCTCTCCTCCCAAACGGCAGAGAGGCAGGGGTCACAGGTTGTGAGCATCCTCCTGTCCAGCACCAAGCATGCGCAGTCACTGTCTGCAGGATGGAAAGGCCTCGTCTTCAAGGAACCCTGTGCCTGCTTAACCCTGAGGAGAGAGGGAGCTGGTTTCTTGAACTGTGCCCCCCAAAAGACATGTCCATGTCTTCATCCCTAGTCCCTGTGACTTACCTTAATTGGAAACAGGGTCTTTGAAGATGTCATTAAATTAAACCGAGGTAGTACTGGGGTGGGGTCAGCCCTAATGTAATGAGGGGTGTCTTTATAAGAAGAGGAAAGGACACAGGCATTGAGGGAAGGCAGAGATTGGGGTGATGTGGCCACAAGCCAAGGACACCTAGAGCTGGAAAAGGCAGGAAGGCTCTTCTCCTAGAGCCTCCAGAAGGAACCACCCTGCCAGCACCTTGATTTCAGACTTCTGTCCTCTTAACTGTGACAAAGTAAATTCCTGTTCTAAGCCGCATGGTGTGCGGTACTGTGTGACAATCACCACAGGACACTAGTAGGGTTTCTAGTGGATTTAGGAGTCATTTAAGAAACCAATTTGCAGTGTAGTTTGCGGCTCTGTGGAGGAGGAGGGTGACTGCCTGGAAGCAACTCTACTGCACAGGACAGATGGACAGACAGCATTTACCTTGGAAGATGATTTTAGTTCGGTCCAGGGGCGCTACTGCCGTTTTGGCAAGAGCGCCAGCCAGGGCCCCGGACAGGAGGGAGCTGAGAACTTGCCTGTGATCGCTCTGCAAGAAACACACAAATACGGTCTGTCGTCGGAGAGGTATAGGAGGGGTCTGCTCTGCTGGGGATGGCACCAAGAGGAATACTTCTCCCCACCCCTCCAACCCCCCTTCGCTGGTCTAGGGCCAAGAGATGCACAGTGGTTTGAGTGTTGAGGCCCTGAGAGAGCAGTGGTGGGTCCAGGGGCCAGAATCTTCACAGGACACAGTGAAAACCTCCCAGGTGACAGAGACCATCCATGTGAGAGGTGACGTATTGTCTGGGCCAGCCCGTGAGGTTCTGTGTTCTTGAAGGCAGCCACAATGGGACTGACTCCAAACACGAGGCACCCCTGACCCTTCCCACGTGCAGGCCTTGGTTCCATCCACCTGTGTGCTGGACTCTCACGCGCACTGCAATGTCTCAGGCAAAGTCATGAGGCCTTTGTGCTTGGGGAGGCTGGCACGGGGTGTCAGGCAGGCAGACCCTGTTGGGGTGTCCCCTTTCCACATCTTTCTGTCAGGACTTCAGGGTCCAGTGCCCAAACGAGGATAATGGTGACGGTGGCTGACCTGCATCACATGCCCCCATGGCCAGCCTCGGGGCCAGCACTTTCTCCGTCTTCTTAAACTTCCTCAAGCCCCCCGTGCACAGCCTTCTTTCCTTCTTTCCCTCGCATGTCCATCTGAGCCCTGAGCAGTCTCATTGGGTTGGAATCTCCATACTTCCAGCTGACTCTCACAAGCAGCTATGGGGAGCACTCTGGAATGTCTTGGACCAGAGGCGCCCCATCTCTCCTCGATCTGCAATGAGCAAGGATGGCGAGGGGCAGGTCGTTCAGTGGTCCCAGGAATCCATGAAGTCCCACACGGACCAGGAGCCCCGAGGGGCCTGGAGACATGCAGTGCAGGGTGGCGGTATGTAGGAGCCCCCCATCCCCCATGGGCCATCAGTCTATGGAGAGAGCAAGACATGAACTAAATCTTCAAAGGCACACAGTCACCCATTTGGGTGGGGGGCCCCCGCAAGTAGGCTGGCTTTTACCCAAATAGACATGGAGAAGCATGGAAGGTGGACGGGCCATTTTCACTGTAACCAGAGAAGAGGTGGCTCCTGCAGAAATCAAGATGGAGATAGCAGAAACTGTGACCGGGGGAGGCTGTGAGGGCATTTGGGGGGGTACAACTGGCAGCCTGGGTCTGAGTGGATGTGGTAGGGCCCAGGGCCCCTGAGTTTGCTCAGATCAGTGGGTGGCCCAGTGATGGAGGGCTGGGAACTGAATCTGTCCACACTCCTGGCCTGAGTCTGGGCTCTGTCCTGACTGCAGTGACCAGATAGCCTCTCTGGTTTCTTGGTCTAGGTCCCACTCCCAGATCCTCTCCAGAGTGTCCCAAGTGCTCCCAGGGATCTTGTATCCTGCAATCCGGCTCCCGTCCCGTAGGGCTCCAGCCCCTTTCCCGTACCATCCCAGCAGCCCCTTCGCCTGCCTAGCCCACTCCTAATAGAAAAATTTCACAGCGGTGTTTTCCCTCCCATGTTTCTGAGGCCAAGCTTCACTATGGGGTTCGATCTGCTCATTGCTTCACACGGGCCTGTCACTGGGGACCCCCGCCTTTTCCGGGTCATGCAGCAAGGCTCTGGTCATCTGGTCCCATCGGCTTTGAGAGGTGTGGACATCAGATGCTGGAAGTCTCCCTGGTGCTCCTGGCATGAGCCTCCTGCCTCGGCTTCTTCTCTGTGAACCCATGAGAGATTGCTTATGCCCGCTGTGAGCAGAGGAAACACCCCACGACAGCCTATGTGCCTGCTGGCATTGGAGGGAAAGCCGGTACGTCCTTTCTGTGTCCTTCCGCAGTCTTGTGTCCTTGTGCAGTCTGCAGTTCTTACAGTCCCAAGGCCAGCTCTGTGCATCTGGAACACACATATCCTTAGTCCCTGCCCTTGGGGTGGGCTCTGGGACTTGCTGTGGGCCCACTTCCCGGCTCAGCAGAAGAGGCTGCTGCTGCTGCCTCCAGCCCATGATTTCAGTAGCTCTTAAATGACTATGGCACTTTATTCTTCGTTTTCTTTTCTTTTTTTTTAGGTGAGGCAACCCTTGGTTGACCTCACAGATTGCAAGGACCTTGTCAGCTTACAATACCTTATTTTTTTATTTATTTTTTGTGCCTACAGCACCTGGTCTTCCCAGGTGGTCTCCCATCCAAGTACTAACCAGGCCCGATCCTGCTTAGCTTCCGAGATCAGATGGGATTGGGTTTGTTCAGGTATGGTGCTTTATTCTTTGGAGAGCTCAGCACAGGCATCACCAGGTGATTAGCATGTCCATGTCTATTGCATGGAGGGAGCCTGCAAATGAAGTGCGAGGCAGCGCACCGACAGAGAGGTGACGGGCCATTACAGAGGCTCTACATGGCCGCGAATGCCACAAGAAGACGCTGGGCTTCTTAACCAAAGAAATGCAATTTGTAGGGTGAGCTTCTGCATTAGGCTGGCCAAGCAGACCAAGATGGATGTTGCGTGTGTGGCCAGTAAGGAGGAAGACTGGTGCTGGGTGCCCGGGTATACGACGGGCACGGGCCTTTTGCCAGGATCCATCCAGGTGGCAGAGCGGCAGCGTCTCCCTCATGCTCTGCTGGGAAGTTCACTAAACTGGGAGAAACAGTGCTTGCTGTAGGCTTGGCCCTCATTGCCTCACATGGCTTGGTGACGGTGCCCCACACACTGACCCAGAAACTAGTCCTCCCACCTGCCTGGTACTCCTCAGGGCGACTCAGAATTTGGGAACAGTCAGGAGAGTTGGGACAATGACAACACTTCAGCCTTTGAGCCTGTGGACTCTGAGAACTGCCCAAGGGCACCTGAGCCAGGCCCTGGGAGCTAGGAGGAGTTTCCTTGTAGGGCTGGGTCAGTCTGTGTTTCAGGTTTGGCTAGGAGAACTTCTACTGTTCTACTCTTCTTGGCTTCTCGGTGAACAAGGATGGGGCTAATCCAATTTCTTTAAGACGGAATATAGCTGTTCTTCAATCCAAGGGTGGAATCAGAGATGAACTCCAGAGCTGAGAGCAAACTCCACCATTTGGGCCCTCGATCTCAACCAACCCTGAGTTTACCGATTCTTTCCTGTTTGTAAATCTGAGCGAGAAAAGGGGCTCAAGGACATCTTCTGACTTTCTAGCCAATTTGGGTGAGGTTTTGGCTTCTTGCAAGGTGGTCAGTGGCTGGATTCACATCAAAAATGGGGTGGTCAGTGCCTCTCCGCCATAGCCTCACACTGATGCAGCCCCACTCCAGTGTATGTGGGGAGTGACCTGTGACAGGTGCACACACACAGGAGAGGGACCCATGAGAATGCTCATGGGGATGCCGGGTACTTGCCTTTGAGGAGACAGGTGCGGGCAGGATGGCCTCAGCATCCTCACGCAATCGCACCGCGCCTTCCTTAACACCATTACCCATTCCAGGCTGCTGGGGATGGCGGAGACCCGGTCCTGGGGAGCAAGAGGGGACACAAGACCTGGTGAGAAGGGACCTTCCCCACTTGCCTCATCCCCTTGTCACCTGAAGCCAAAACTGCCTGAGCTGGTATGGTTTTCGTAACTTGGAATCTGTCTCCCTGCAAGGGAAGGACACTGCACCAGCATCCAGATGCCAGTCTCCTGCGCTGATGGCTTAATTGTTTACAAAAACCTTTTTGATTGTCACAAATAGGTTATTTTAACTTAGTACCAACTGGGTGGATGGGCTCAGAGAGGTTAAGCCACCCCCAAAAAAGTCACACAGCAATAGGCGGAGACATGGTAGGCTATGAGGCATGGAGGCCAGAGGGCCCCACCTGCCCAGAGCCAAATGACCACTGGGCTCAAGTCAGCTTAGACCTGTCCACAGAAACATGTTTAGAAAATTAATCTTTTTCCTACTGTGTGGCTGCCTGCTCTTTGCAGCCGAACTTACAGCAAAGGGCCCTAATACCTGATGATCTGTCACTGGAAACCTACATTTATCCTCCAAGTGGAAGCGCATGCAAAGCTCAGCAAATTGCAGTGAGGGGACCAGGAGGAAGAAAGGGTGAAGGACAGATGTCACTGAGATGACACCGCACACCAGTGTCCTTTGAGGTCTTGGTTCTCACACTTTAAAATGATGCAAATGATTCAGGTGTTCCCTGAGAAGGCCATGAGCGCTCCTCCTGCTCTCCGGGTCTTCCCAGGCAGCCCACATCAGTGCCGGTGTGGAATGTTCTAGAAAGCACAAGCAGGATTCCGCTCTGTGGGCCCTGTTGCTGTTTCCTTCTCAAAACAGGCCCTGGCTCTGGAGAAACAACTGCTTCCAGGACAGAGCAAGAAACGTAGGGATGAGCCTAGAGCACCCTGAGGTGCCAGGGAAAAACCAAAACCAAGGGACACAGGAGCTGGGTCAACAACTTCCCAGTGGGCAAAGCTGGGAACAACAAAATTGATAAAGCAGTACTGGATTGTAATCCAAAGACTGAAATATCCATACGTCCACACTAATATAAACGAATGACTGAATAAATAAGTGGAGGAGAAGAGACAACTCTCCCATCAGAGGAATCCCAAATAATTCGTGCAGATGCTCTGCCTTTGAGGAGGGGGAGCGGGACTCCTGGCCCTTAGGTGTGAGTTGTACATAGTGACTTACTTCCAAGGGGGATAGCACAAGAAGTGGGGAGAGAAAAGCTTTACAGAGGAGATTCCTGACAGACACCACAGCCAAGTGATAAAGGTCAACATCACAGTGATAAGTCGGGTTGATGGCATGTGCCATGGTCACAATGTACTGAGAAGGGTGCTTCACTTCTGTAGTCCCCCATCCCACACCCGTCATCCCAGTCCAATAATGAGAAAAACACCACAAATCCCAACTGAGAGTATCCTACAAAACACCTCATCAGTTCTCAAAACTGTCAAGGTCATCAAACCAAGAAAGTCTGAGAAATTGCTCAGCCCAGAAGCCTATATTACACTAAGGCAACATGATGACTAAATGTGTGAGATCCTGGGACAGAAAAAGGACAGTGGGGAAAACAGGAAATCTAAATATCCCATAGCTTTAGTTAATAATAACGCATCAGTATTTGGGGGTGGGGGGGTGGGAGAAGGGAGTGGAAGGACTCACTTAAAATTGAGCCGGAGCTGCCAACACAGACGAACTGCCTTGTGTGCCTGATGCCTCAAATTTTGGAAGGTTAAATCAGGGCAAAATAATCCTTGGACTGGGCCTAAAGTAACATTGTATTTGCTTTACTGTTTGCACAGATAACAAGAAAGCAGATTGATGACTACCAGACTGAAAATTAAAAACATTGTTTAGAGTTAGTGTCACTGTTTTAGCTCATCTGCACCAATAGAAATGCCTCTCTTCTACTGATCTAATTGTTCCCCTTCCTCTTCTCATAAATACCCATTGCCTTTGTCTCCTAGTCAGAACCCTATTTGGACTTCTGCCTAAATCAGTGCTTCCCCAATAGCTATTCTTTTAGATCTCGAATAAATGCTGTTGTTTCTCATCTTGGCTTTTCATTTTTAGGTTAACAATTAGTTCATTAGTTTGTGACAAATGTACCATACTAATGTAAGATTAACATTAAAATGGAAGAAACTGGGTGTGTGAGGTGGAGGGGCTGTGTTGCCTTTGTAGTTTTTCTGTAAATCTGAAACTGTTCAGACAGAAACCAGGCCCTTAGTAGTGGTTTCAAGCCAACTGCTAAGGTGTCAGCCTGTGGGATGCACTGAGACTGTGTCGCCCCCACCCCCAGCACCTCCAGCTGCAGCTCAAGCCACCGCAACATTCTGGACCCTGGGAATTGCCCTGGCATCTGGGCATAGATGGTGCCGATTCTTGTGGTGGGCATGTTAAATGTGAACACATTCCGCAGAACCACCTTCTTGAGAGAGGATCCAGCCCTTTATGTACCTGCAGTGTGTGAGGTGCTGATGGATGAATTCCCTCCCTCTGTTCTTGCTCCAAGCTCCCCAGGTCTCAGCTTCGTGATGAACAGTTTCCCCAAGCAGGTAGGTGCTCACAGGCTCGGATCTCGGGCTGCTCATGGAGCCCACTGGAACATACAAGGGCCTGCCCTGGAAACAGCTATGGTGGAAATGGACAGAGAGTCACCAAACTGGTGTAGACCTATAAGAACGTATCACTGCAGGTGACAGAGTGTCGAGGCAGGCCACAGGGAAGGCCTGCAGGGGGTTGAATGGTGGCCCCCAAACAACATGTCCACCCAGAACCTGTGAATGTGATGTTATTTGGTCAAGTGTCTTTGCAAATGTAATTAAGGTAAGGATCTCCCTCCGTATGAGAGCATCGTGGATTTAGGGTGGGCCCTAAATTCAAGGACAAGTGATCTGATAAGAGACAGAGGGAAAAGGAGACACAGACAGGGAGAAGGCCCTGTGAAGACAGAGGCAGAAACTGGTGTGGTGCCCTCACCAGCCAAGGAATGCCTGGGGCCACCAGAAGCTGGACGAGACAAGGAAAGATTCTCCCTCTCCTAGGGCCTCTGGAGGGAGTGGGCCACACACACCATAATTTCAGACTTCTGACCTCCAAAACTGTGAGGATAAATTTCTGTTGTTTTAAGTCATCCAGTGTGTGATGATTTGTTGTGGCAACCACTGGAAAATACGCCAGGGCCCTTTTTAGGGGAGAACCTGAGGGGGGGGGTGCCACCCCAGCAGAACAGGCAGTCTCAGCTTGACAGTCGCACCCAGTGCCCCTGGCAGTTCCCCAGGATTAGAGAATAAAGGAAACATTCTTGCCCTGGGGGATTGCAGGGGTAGGGGAGTGGAGGGTGAGGGGGTAGGGTCTCAAGATTTTGTTCCTCAGGCCAAAGGCTAATTTCTCTAAAAGATAAAGAGCTCTTTGCTCTTTCAAAGCAGTTAAAAAAAAAAAAAAAAAGCAAGACACAAACACAAAAAAGGCAGAGAAAAAGGCAGGTCACCAGAACAAAAGAAATAACTTAAACATATGACAGGTGCCTAGCTGCGATTATGATGGGAAAGGCAGGTTTCACCTTAGTAAGAGGCTGTCTCCATGCATGGGGCAGTAATGCAACTGTGTTATGAGATAGTGGTGGGTATGGAGGGAGGTGGCACCTCTTTGCCTTAGAATGTGTGCTGTGTCCCCAAGAAATGAGCATGAAGATTTGAGTGTTGGTAAGGCCACCACCAGCTGCTGGTCCCAATGAAAGGGGGCAGAAAAATGGGAGGAATATGTGCCTTGTGTCCTTCCTTACAAGAGAATGCCGCTAGCTTGTTACTGATGGGCGAGCCTACCTGGATCCAAGTGAGAGGCTGCCCAGATGTGAAGACCAGAAGCAGACCACGTGTTTCTACTACACTGTCAATAGTGATGAGAACTTGCTAGACAAGGGAGGGGCCGAGGTGGGAGGGGACCTGACCTTTTTTCCCCCACAGTTTACATAAGTTATATTAGTTTCAGGTGTACAATATGGTGATTAGACATTTATAAAACTTACGAAGTGATTCCCCTCGATAAATCTAGTACCCATCTTACACCATACATAGTTATTACAATATTACTGACTATATTACCTATGCTATATTTTATATCCCCGTGACTGTTTTTATAACTGGCAATTTGTACTTCTTAATGCCTTCCTCTTTTTCACGCATCTGCCCAATCCAGATTTGACTTTTGATGTGTAGACTCTCCTGCAGTTGGCATTTCTCCTTCCCCCACTTACCTACTCACTAGTAAGAGAGAGGACACAACCCCTGTATGGCTACCCCCCACCCCCACCCCCAGCTCCTCTCCCTGGTCAGAACCCCTCCCACAGTGCTCAGGGATCCCCTCCATGCTCTTCACTGACCCCTTCCCCCAAATTGCCACGATTCTGAATTCATGCATGCCTACCCCAGAGAGGCCCCACCTCCCTGCTTAAGACAGTCATTAGGTCCCCTCTGCCATTGATGAGGGGACACCCTGGCTGGGACTTCTCTGCACCCAGCCCTTCAGGCTGGGCCCAAGAACATGGGCTCCCTGGGTGCAGTCTAGAGCTCATCATCAGTCAAATGGTAACCAATGGCCCAAGTGGCCTAGGATGAGGCCCAGAGCAAGGTGGGTGGCCCCAGCTGACACACACGACCCACGTGCCAGAGCTGCCTGCTCCTGTCTCAACTTCCTGCAGTTCCCGCACCACCTCTGCCCTCCCTCTCTCTGGAGCAAGAGCCAAGGGCTCTGTACCAGGGTAGGCAATTGGATGAGAAATTTTCTTCATATTCTTTTGTTTCTGTTGTACCTTGTTTCTTCCATTGTTGCTAGTAATACCAAATTTCTTTCTTTTAAAAAATTTTTCATGTTTATTAGCTAACCAGTTCTTTAAGAAATCTTTTTAACTATTACCTACACTAAGAAATATTTTACATCATACACTCACTTATATTCACATATACTCATGCATGCATGCCCTAAGGAAAACAAAAGTTTCAGGAAGTAAAAA